TGAGCATCTTTTCATGTGTCTGTTAACATCTGGATGTCTTCTTTGGAAAAGTTTTTGTTCATATCCTCTCCTATTTTTTCAATGATTATTTGTTTTTGGGTGCTGAGTTTGATAAGTTCTTTATAGATTTTGGATACTAACACTTTATCAATCAGATATGTCATTTGGAAATATCTTCTTCTATTCCCTAGGTTGCTTTTTAGTTTGGTTAATAGTTACCTCACTGTGCAGGACCTTTTTATCTTCATCAAGTCCCAATGGCACATTTTACTTTTGTTTCCGTGCCTCTGGTGATACATCTAGTAAGAAGTTGCTGCAGCCAAGGTCTAAGAGGTTGCTGCTTGTATTCTTCTCTAAGATTTTGATGGTTTCCTGTCTCACATTTAGATCTTTCATCCATTTTGAATTTATTCTTGTGTATGGTATAAGAAAGTGGTCCAGGTTTATTCTTCTACATGTTGCTGTCCAGTTTTCCCACCACCATTTTTTTGAAGAGACTTTTTTCCATTTGATACTGTTTCCCCTCACTCTCAATCTGCACTTGTCTTTAGGTTAAAATGACTCTCTTGTAGGCAGCATATTGATGAGGTCTTGGTTTTTGTTGTTGCTGTTTTGAATCTATTCTGACATCGTTTGTCTTTTGATTAAATATTTAGTACATTTACATTCAGAGTGGTTATTGAAAGATATGAATTTAGTGCCATTTTGTTACCTGTAAAGTAATATTTATGTAACATCTGGTGATGTTTTCTTTCCCCCTCTCTTGTTGGTTTTGGTCTTTTTCCCCACTTGAAGAGTCCCTGTTACTATTACTTGCATGGCTGGTTTTAGTGGTCATGAACTCCTTTAGTTTTTGCTTGTCTGAGAAACTCTTTATCTCTCCTATTCTGAATGACATCCTTTCTGAAGAAAGTATTCTTGGTTGCATATGTTTCCTATTCAGGATGTTGAATATATACGGCTACCCCCTTCTCTCCTGTCAAGTTTCTGTGGACAGATTTGTTGTGAACCTGATCTGTTTTCCCTTGTAGGTGAAGGACTTTTTTTACCCTTCTGCTTTCAGGATTCTTTCTTTGTCTGTATATTTTATGTATTTGACTATGATATGTCTTCATGATGGCTAGCTTTTGTTGAATTTAATGGAAGTTCATTGTGCTTCTTGGATTGTGATATCAGTTTTATTCCCCAGGTTAGGGAAGTTATCAGCTATAATTTACTAAGATAACTCTCTGCGTTTTTTTCTGCATCTTCTGGGATTCTTTTGTTATAAATGTTATTATAGTTTAAGGAGTCACTGAGTTCCTGAAGTCTACATTTGTGATCTAAAACCTTTCTTTCCCTCTTCTTTTCAGCCTCATTATTTTCCATAATTTTAGATTCTGTATCAATGATTCTTACCTCTGCTTCCTCATTATTATGGTCTATTCATGTTTGTATCTTGGTTATAGCATTTTTAATTCTGGCTTGACTAGTTTTTAGTTCTTTTGACTCTTTAGTAATGGATTCCTTCGTGTCTTCTGTGCTTTTTTCAGTATCAGCTAGTACCCTTAAAATTGTTGTTTCAAATTCTAGTTCACACATCTTACTTATATCTGTGTTGATTGAATCCCTGGTTGTGAATTTTTCCATTTTTTTCTTTTGGGATGAATTGCTACTTCTTGTCACTTTGGAGGTCAAAAAAAAGAGAAGAAAGCAGGCTAGATTTTTAGTGTGTTTTGGTCTCCTTGTTAAGACACACTTGGTCCAAAAGAAAAAAAAGTTAAAACAAAGAACACAAATAAAATAAAATAATAATTTAAAAAATAAAATAGAGTGTGGGTAGCTTAGCCAGTTAAGCGTCTAAGTCTTGATTTTGGCTCAGACCATGATCTCATGGTTTGTGAGACTGAGCCCCACATCAGGCTCTGCGTTAATACTGCAGAGCCTGCTTGGGATTCTCTCCCTTTTTCTCACCCCCTCGCTCACTCACTTGTGCACATTCTCTCTGTCTTCTCTCTCAAAATAAATAAATAAACAATAAAAAATAAGTAGACAAAGAATAAACAAAAATTTCTTTTTCTGTGTGTATGTATATGTATATGTATATATGTGTGTATATATATGTGTATCTCCAAAGGAGGCTAGATCTTGTTTCCCCTAGAGCTAAAGCTTTGCAGCACTCCATGATCATTAGACTTGGTGCATGCAAGGGATTTATGCTGATCTTCTGGGGTAGGAGCTTATTGCTCTGATTCTCAGGAGGACTTTCCCTAGTCAAGTTGAACCTGCAGACTGCCATGGGGTAGGGCTTGCTGTAAGCGGCTCCAGCTTCCACTTGGTGATGCTGTTTTGCTCACTGAAGTTGGTCAGAGGTAAGGGTGGGGGAAGAATGGCTTTGCCCTGCTTTCTCATCTCTGGCGGAGGGATCTCATGTATGCCACTTCTCAGAAAGGCCTCACAGATGATCAGTCTCCACTACTTTGTTCCAAGCTTCTGTCAGATACCCATCATCACAGTATGTCTTGTCTGCCTACCAGGCAGCACAGTACTTCTGCATTTTATCTGTGGCATGGCTGAGTTTCAAAACTCACCTCGAGGTGCAGACCCCTGCTGATCCTCTGGGGGAGGGTCTTGCTGTGTGCTGTGCCCAGAAAACAGTTGTGCAGCTGCACAGCAGTTTGGAATTTATGGGAGATCACAGCACAAAGCCAGCACCAGGGTTTGCTGCCCTCAGCCAGTGTCTTTGTTCCTTTGCTGATGAATGAGGCAGCTCAATGGCTCTTGCAGGGTCTTTTGCCCCCAGAGAGGCCATATCACCTCTACTAATGCACTCCAGGCAGGGGAACTCTTTCTTCCTTGTGTGATCCAGGGGATCTTCAGATTTGCCTGCTCCCAGGTCTCTGCCCTCCTTCCCCACCAGAGCATTGCTAATGCTGCCAGGCACAACCATGGTGATGGCACTGAATCCTGAAACTTCAGACTCTGCACTCTGCTGTTTATAAAAAACTTCCAGTATTTAAACCCTTTCCTTTTGCTACTCAGTGGTTTTGGGGAAGAGTTTTCTTGTGCAGTCCCCTGTACATTTTCACTCTTTTTCTCACTCTCTCATTCTCTCACTCCTCTCTGTCCATATTCAGAGCTCTATGTCCTGTATAACACCTACATCTCTTTTCTCTCTCAAATCAATTCTCTGCACCTCCTACCTTCCTTGAGGTGGTCTTTTTTCTGCTTGTAGATGTGCAGCTTTGTTCTCTCAGTCCTCAGATTGGTTTCATGGGTGTTCATAATTATTTGATATTTATCTAGCTGTGGTTGAGGGAGGAGGCAAGCTTAGGGTCACCCTACTCCTCTGCAATTGTAACCTGGGGTCCAAGATTTCATTCTTTTTATGGGCGAATAATATTCCATTGTATCACATATTTTTTAAATCTATTCATCTATTCTTTTTATAGTTCTTAAGGTATAAAGTTAAGTTTTTTATCTGGGATCTTTTTATTTACTTAATGTATATGTTTATAGCTATAAACTTCTCTCCTAGAAATCATTTTCTGCATCCTGTATGTTTTGATATGTTGTAGGGGTTTTTTATTTGTTTCAAGATACTTTTTATTTTTTAAAATATTTATTTTTGACAGAGTGCAAGTGGGGGAGGGGCAGAGAGACACACACAGAGGATCTGAAGCAGGCTCCGCTCTGACAGTAGTGAGCCCAATGTGGGACTTGAACTCACAAAATGCAAGATCATGACCTGAGCTGAAGTTGGATACTCAACTGACTTAGGCACCCAGGTACTCCTTAATTTTTTAAAAATGTTTATTTAATTATTTTTGAGTGAGAGAGAGCGTGCACAGAGTGTGAGCATGAACAGGAGAGGGGCAGAGAGAAAGGGAGAGAAAGAATCCCAAGCAGGCTCCATGTTGACAGCTCAGACCCCAATGCAGGGTTTGATCTCATGAACTGCAAGATCATGACCTGAGCTGAAACCAAGAGTCTGACACTTAACCAACTGAGCCACCCAGGCAATCCAAGAAGATAAATTTTAGTTTTCTCTTTAATTTCTTCTTTAATCCATTGGTTGTTAAGGAGAATCTCATTTCATCATTAGTTCTTTACACATCTAGGACTTCACTGTCCAGTGCCACTGGCCACTAGCTAGGCTCATGTGACTATTTACATTAAAATTAATTGGATGGGGCACCTGGGTGGCTCAGTCGGTTAAGCGTCCGACTTCGGCTCAGGTCATGATCTCATGGTTCATGGGTTCGAGCCCTGCATTGGGCTCTGTGCCGACAGCTAACTCAGAGCCTGGAGGCTGTTTCGGATTCTGTGTCTCCCCCTCTCTCAGACCCTCCCCTGCTCACGCTGTCTCTCTCTCTCTCTCTGTCTCAGAAATAAATTTAAAAAAACATTGAAAAATATTAAAAAAATAAAATTAATTGAAATCACAATTAGAAATTCACTTTCTCAGTCACAAGCTATATATCAGATGTTTAATAATCACATGTGGCTCAGGGCTACCATATTGGGTGCCAATGATTAATACAAAACATTTCCATTATTGTAATAACTTTCATTGGCAATCCTGATATAGAATAATAGTTGTTAACCAGGAACATTTTTGCCCCTGTGGGATACTTGACAATATTTGGAAATATTTTTGATTTCTACAAATAGGGGATGGGTTCTGGTTTCTAGTGAATAGAAGGCTGGGGAGCTATTAAACGTCCCCTAATACACAGGACAGCCCTCACAACACTTATCCAGCCTACATGACAGTAATTCTGATGATGGGAAACTCTGCCCCATAATGTATTTTGATGTGAGGTGTGAGGTAGAGATCTAGTTGTTTTTCCCTCTGGTTAACCAGTTGGCTAGACACCGTCCCTGTGTGTACTCAGTCCATTTACTCTGCTGGTGATCCTTAAGCTAGAGATATATTTTTATTCTTTAAATGGTTTAGAGAGTCCTATTGCCTTGCTATTTAAGATATGATTTTAAAAAATCAATTTGTTATCTTACAGATTCTTTGACTTTGCACATAAAGACCACTCTGTGTTCCCAGTATAACATGGCTTCAGCTTCAAGGTAAGTGCTGTTTGATGAAAGACTTTATGCAAGTAATTAATTCTCCTTTTGGATGCCACACCCATGGATTTTTAGCCCTTAGTCTTAATGGCCTCACTAAGCATTTGGTGTCTAGGAAGGAAAAGGTATGAAGAGGGCAGAGACCAGAGAGGATAGAGAAAAGGTGAAGCAGACTAGGTAGTGTGTGGGGGATAGGTATAGCCCTGTAGTTCCACTGTCTACACTTGATCTAAAAATGTGATTCACTTTCTGGTGCACCTAGGTGGCTCAGTCATTTAAGCGTCTGACTTAGGCTCAGCTCATGATCTCAAGGTTCGTGTGTTCAAGCCCTGTGTCGGACTCTGTGCTGACAGCTCAGAGTCTGGAGCCTGCTTCAGATCCTGTGTCTTCCTCTCTCTCTGCTCCTCACCCCCCAACCCCCCATCTCTCAAAAATGAATAAACATTAAAAGATTTTTTTTTTTAATGTGATTTACTTTTCTTATCTTTTTTTTTTTTTTTTTTTTTTTTTTTATTTTTATGAGATAGAGAGACAGCGTGAGAAGGGGAGGGTCAGAGTGAGAGGGAGACACAGACTCTGAAATTGGCTCCAGGCTCTGAGCTGGCAGTCAGCACAGAGGCTGACGCGGGGCTCGAACCCACGAACCGTGAGATCATGACCTAAGTGAAAGTCGGACGCTTAACCGACTAAGCCACCTAGGCACCCCAACTTTTCTCATCTTTTAATGCACAAGATGGTTGCTAGTGGGGCTGCTTTAGTCCCTGCAACCCTTCCCCCTCCAGGAGTCTTTTTCTTTGTTTCAAGTTTTATTTAAATTCTAGGTAGTTAACATGTAGTGTAATATTGGTTTCAGGATTAGAATTTTAGTGATTCATTACTCACATTTAACACCTAGTGCTCATCACAAGTGTCCTCCTTAATGCCCATCACCCATTTAACCCATCTCCCCACTTATCTCCCCTCCAGCAACCCTCAGTTTGTTCTCTATAGTTAAGAGTCTCTTACAGATTGCATCCTTCTTTTTTTTATTACTTCCCTATGTACATCTTTTTTTTTTTTCTGATTCCATATTTGAGTGAAATCATAAAGTATTTGTCTTTATCTAACTGAATTATTTCACTTAATGCAATTTACCTCCCTCTATGAATTTGCAAATGACAAGATTTCATTCTTTTCAATGACTAATATTCTGTTGTGTGTATGTGTGTGTGTGCACGTGCATGCACACACATGACATCTATATCCATTTATCAATTGCTGGACATTTGATCTCCTTCCATAATTTGGCTATTATTGATAATGTTGGTGTAAATATGGGGTGCACATGCCCCTTAGAATCTGTATTTTTGTATTCTTTGCAAAAATACCTAGTAGTGCCACTGCTGGATCATAGGGTAGTTCTATTTTTAACTTTTTGAGGAACTTCCATACTGTTTTGCAGAGTAGCTGCACCAATTTGCATTCCCACCATCAGTGAAAGAGGGCTCCCTTTTCTATGCATCTTCTCCTGTATCTGCTGTTTCTTGTGTTGTTAATATTAGCCATTCTGACAGGTGTGAGGTGATATCGCATTGTAGATTTGATTTGTATTTCCTTGATGAGTGATTTTGAACATCTTTTCATGTTTCTATTAGCCATCTGGATATCTTCAATGGTGAAGTTTCTATTTAAGTCTTCTTCTCATTTTTTAACTGGATTATATGGGGAGGTATTGCAGTTTATAAGTTCTTTTTTTTTAAAACATTTTAAATGTTTTTATTTAGTTTTGAGAGAGAGAGAGACAGAGCATGAGTTGGGGGGTCGCACAGAGAGAGGGAAACACAGAATCTGAAGCTGCCTCCAGGCTCTGAGCTGTCAGCACAGAGCCCGATATAGGGCTCAAACTCATGGACTATGAGATCATGACCTGAGCCAAAGTCGAATGCTTAACTGACTAAGCCACCCAGGTGCCCCGCAGTTTATAAGTTCTTTATAGATTTTGGATACTAACACTTTATCAATCTGATATGTCATTTGGAAATATCTTCTCCCATTCCCTAGGTTGCTTTTTAGTTTTTTTGATAGTTACTTCACTGTGCAGGACCTATTTATCTTCCTCAAGTCCCAACAGTTCATTTTTGCTTTTGTTTCTGTGCTTCCAGTGATGTATCTAGTAAGAAGTAGCTGTGGCCAGCGTCAGAGGTTGCTGCCTGTGTTCTCTTTTAGGATTTTAATGGTTTCCTGTCTCACATTTAGGTCTTTCATCCATTTTTAATTTATTTTTGTGTATGGTGTATGAAAGTGGTCCAGGTTTATTCTTCTGCATGTTGCTGTCCAGTTTTCCCACCACCATTTGCTGAAGAGTCTATCTCTTTTCATTGGATTTTCTTTCCTACTTTGTGAAAGATTAGTTTTCCATACATCTGTGGGTCCATTTCTGGGTTCTCTGTTCTGTTGCATTGATCTATTTATCTGTTTTTATACAAGTACCATACTATATTGATGATTATAGCTTTGTAATACAGCTGAAGTCAGAGATTGTGATGCCTCCAGCTTTGGCTTTCATTTTCAATATTACTTTGGCTATCTGAGGTCTTTTTTGGTTCTATACAAATTTTGGAATTTTTTTCCAAATGTTTCTTCTAGCTCTGTGAAATATGCTAGTGTTATTTTGATACGGATTGCATTCAATGTGAGATTGCTTTGGGTAGTATAGACATTTTTACAGTATTTGTTCTTCCAGTACAGGAGTATGGAATGTTTCTCCGTTTCTTTAGTTTTCTTCAGTTTCTTGAATAAACAGTCTATGGTTTTCAGTGGACAGACCTTTTGCTTCTTTTGGTTAGGTTTATTCCTATGTATTTTATGGTTTCGGTATAATTGTAAATGGGGTTGATTCCTTTATTTCTCTTTCTGCTGCTTCATTATTGGTGTATAGAAATACAACTGATTTCTTTAAATTGATTTTATTTCCTGCGACTTTGCTGAATTCATCAGTTCTAGTAGTGTTTCGGTGGAGTCTCTTGGGTTTTCCACATAGAGTATCATGTCAAAGAGTGAAAGTTTGACTTCTTTCTTGCCAATTGGGATGCCTTTTATTTGTGTTGTCTGATTGCTGAGGCTAGGGCTTTCATTACTATGTTGAACAACAGTGGTGAGAGTGTACATCCCTCTCATGTTCCTGACCTTAGGGGAAAAGCTGTCGTTTCTTTTCCCATTGAGATTGATATTAGCTGTAGGTCTTTCATATGTGGCCTTTACTATGTTCAATTGTGTTCCTTCTATCCCTACTCTCTGGAGGGTTTTTATCAAGAAAGGAATGCTGGATTTTGTGAAATGCTTTTTCTGCATCAATTGGGAGCATCATATGGTTGTTATCCTTTATTAATGCGGTGTTATGACACTGATTGATTTGTGAATATTGAACCAGCCCTGCAGGAATATATCCCACTTGATAATGGTGAATAATTCTTTTAATGTATTATTGGATTCAACTTGTTAGTATCTTGTTGAGAATTTTTACATCCATGTTCATCAAGGAAATTGGTCTGTAATTTTTATAGACACCCCTTTTTAGTGGGAACTTTGTCTGCTTTTGGAATCAAGGTTATGCTGGCCTCATAGAATGAGTTTGGAAGTTTTCCTTCCATTTGTATTTTTTTTGGAACAGTTCCAGACTAACAGGTATTATCTCTTCTTTCAGTGTTTAGTAGAATTTCCCTGGGAACCCATCTACCCTTAGACTGTTGTTTGTTGGTAGATTTTTGATTACTGAGTGAATTTCTTTGCTGGCTATGGGACTGTTCAAATTTTGTATTTCTTCCTGTTTTAGTTTTCGTAGTTTATATGTTTCTAGGAATTTATCCATTTTTCAGGATTGTCCAATTTGTCAGCATATAATTGTTCATAATATTCTCTTATTATAGTTTTCATTTCTGTGAATTGGTTGTGATCTCTTCTCTTTCATTCATAATTTTATTTGTTTGGTCCTTTTCCTTTTTCTTTTTGATAAATATGGTGAGGGGCTTATCACTTTTGTTAGTTCTTTCAAAGAACCAGCTCTTGGTCTTGTTGATCTGTTCTTCTGTTTTTGTTTTTATTTTGATATCATTGATTTCTCCTCAAACCTTTATTATTTCCCTCTTCTGCTGCTTTGGGGGTTTATTTCCTGTTGTTTTTCCAGTTCCTTTAGGTATAAGTTTAGGTTGTGTATCTGATAATTTTCTTCCTTCTTTAGGAATGCCTGGATTGCTATATGCTTTCCTCTTATGACTGCCTTTGCTGTATCCCAGAGGTTTTAGACTGTACTGTTTTCATTTCATTGGCTCCCATGTGTTTTTTAATTTCTTTTTTACTTTCTTGGTTAACCCATTCATTCTTAAGTAGGATATTTCTTAATGTCCAAGTATTCATGGTCTTTCTAGATTTTTTTTTCTTGTGGTTAATTTCAAGTTTCATAGTGTTTTTGTTTAAAAATATGGATGGTATGATATTAATCTTTTTGTACTTGCTGAGGGCTGATTTGTGACCCAGAATGTGATCTTTTCTGAAGAATGTTACATGTGCACTGGAAAAGAATGCGTGTTCTGCTACTTTAGGATAGAATGTTCTGAATATAGCTGTTAAGTCCATTTGGTGCATTTTATCAATCAAAGAGATTGTTTCCTTGTTGATTTTCTGCGTAGATGGTCTGTCCATGGCTGTCATTTGGGTATTGAAGTCCTCTACTACTTTGGTATTATTATCAATGAGCTTCTTTCTGTTTGTGATTAATTGATTTATAATTTGGTTGCTCCCAAATTGGACAAACTGTTAAATCTTCTTGGTAGATAGACCCCTTACTTATTATATAATGCTCTTCCTCATCTCTCAGTACGGTCTTTGTTTTAACATGTAGTTTGTCTGATAAAGGTATGGCTTCTCCAGCTTTCTTTTAATGTCCATTGGCATGATAGATGGTTCTCTATCCCTTTATGTTCAAGTTGCATATGTCTTTAGATTTAAAATGAGTCTCTTATAAG